ATTTAGCAATAAATTAAAGGGTTGGTTCTACTCGAAAAAATAATAAAGTTGATATAGTGTTTTTTTGAAAACTCACAGGGTGTCAAAAAAATATGTGTATATATATGTTAGTAGGTAGGTCCATATATCTTGAGTCATTAGTACAATCTATAAAAGTCATATTAACAGTTTGAGCGAGTGCACTAGGTCGACGTTTCGAAATTCGCGTTTTATAAATTTATCGCATAAGTTGATTGGCTAAAATATTAATAGGTAACATGAGCTACCATGACTACAGATCAAATTTATTTCAATCATCTATCACACTTATTATTTTTTTAAATAAAATCCATCATTCTTTCAAAACTTTTGAACAGTTGTAACTGTCAACAATGTGGCAACGTTGCTAACTTTGTAATGAGCAAATTCCTCAGGATAATTAATGAGGTTTCTGGTATATTGGAAATATTCTTCATTTCAACGTTCCACAACTTCAAACAACAAAGAGCAACGACAAGTTGGGTTGGACATCAACCACAACTCGAGTCGTTGTTATAAATTGCGACACATCACACCTGACCAAAAGACCGGTAGCTGTTGGCGTTGTTGCCACGTCTTCGCTAAAGTCTTAGTTCTGCGCACTTCAACTCAAGTACCGCATGTGTCAAATTTTGTTTATATATTTTGTGGAAGGAAATTATGTTAAAAGTTGGATTAAACCGGCAAAGTAGCTAATGAAATTTTAGTTAAAGTACTATAAAGAACAAGTTACTTCAATATATTAGTGCTAAAACTTCGAAATTACCAAAAAAAAAATGATTTGGAACTTGAAAAGTTGTCTGTTATAATTTTATAAATATTTATTTGATAGTTTACGAACCTTTTTTTACTGTGTTCTTTTTGCCGATTACTTAAAATGAATAATATGGATTGATAGATAATTAAAATACCTTTCAAATGATAAAGTCGTCACGTTTAAGCATATGACGTCACGGGTAAACAGAATATTTGACAGATCGTGCGTTTGAAAATAAAAATCGGCAGGTTACAGGATTTTTCCAGAAGTAAAGGAGTTACCAAATATTAAATACTTTTATAAACATGTTCTTGTTCATTATTATCATTATTGTTGTTAAAATAAAGGGTGATAAGTTTGTGTTTTAGTACTATTATTCGAACTTAATATTTTATTTACAGAAAACGTTTACAAAACATAGAAATTTTATCCTGTATCCAAGATTTGGACATTTGGCTTTTGTTTGTGACCGTGACGTATTAAGTGGTTTTACAAGAAGGTTAAACTTCTTTTTGTTTAACTTTCTAATCAAAACTAAACAATTTTTTTTAATTTTAGGAACAATACTTATTGGATCAGGAACTAAAAATCCAAAAATAATCTTAGACCAAAACGAATTTACCATCAACACCAAACAGGGCGCTAGAACTAGATGGAGATGCACCCAGTATTTCAAGAGCAAATGTCGGGCTTCGTTGGTCACGTACGGACGAATAGTGAAAGTCAGCCATTTTCATAATCATCCACCCACCAACCCGTCTGAACAGAATTTGTTACCGCAGATTGTTACCATTGTGAGGAACAGGAGGATCATTGTTAAATCCAAACTGCCGCTAGTCAATTTGCTCCAGTAAATTTTAAATCTGATCCTGTTAGTTTAAGATCATGCTTGCGTCCTTTATTTCTATTTTTTTTTGTTTCTGGGTCGTACCTGTACACCCATGTCTCATCTACAGTTATCACGGTGTTCAGAAACTTAGGATCAGTCTTGGTGGTGTCCAGAAGGTCTTGTGCAATGTCAAAACGAAGATTTTTTTGTTCCGGCGACAACTTGGGTATGAATTTCGCAGCCACCTGGTACATGTTCAAATCTTCACGCAAAATTGCATGTGCAGAATCTTTACTCACTCCAATCTCTTCTGCAATCTTCTGCACTGTCAAACGACGAGCTGCCATTATCAAATTTTGCACCCTCTCAACATTAGCTGCACTCCGAGCAGTTTAGGGCCTGCTACAACGCTGCTCACTCTCCGCTGATGTGCGGCCATCTTTGAATCGGTTGAACCACTCCTTAATTTGTGTTACACCCATCGCATCTTCTCCAAACACCTGCTGAATCTTACGAATTATTTGGCTTTGAGAATCACCAAGCTTTTCACAGAATTTGATGTAGTATTTTTGCTCAATTCGTTCAGTCATCTTGCGAGAAAACTAAATCCGACAAACACTAAGAACAGTACCTTACTTGGCGACCACCAGCCAGCGACTTGCACAAGCGAATGCGGTGAAAAAATTCAAGCATGCGCATTAAGGTTCCCCCTTCCACCGTGCACAGTGGCGCCGCCTTAGTTCTACTTTGCGTGGGAAAAATTAAGGTCCGATACTTTTTAGACAGCCCTCGTAAGTTATTTACTTAGTTCCTGTGAAACGACAAATAAAAATGTTTTCCATATGTACCCAATTGTTCAAAAAGTCTTTAAAAACCAAAATAACGTTACAAAACTCACAAAAACTTTACAATCAGCACAAAAATTACTAAGGCATGACAAAATTATAATAAACACTCCGTCCCTTGACATTTACACTATGATAAACAATTTCATTTGTCAGAAGGGTATCTATTTTGCTTTGTCTCCCTCTATTTCTATGGTAAATGGTTAAATTTAGTCTTTATAGTTAAAGTCTTAACATATACGTGGACGTCCTACTTAAAAAAAACGCAAGTATGATCTTATAGTATTTTAATATCTTTTTATAGTAATAAGAAGCTCTCTTTTGCTATTTTTTTATCAAAAAATTCTTTTTATATAATAGGATATAAAGTAGTGTGTAATTATTAGTACTTTTTAGCTAAAACAAGTTTAAACTTTGTAATATTAAGATTGAATAAAAATAAAGATTTCCATCAATAAAATGTCCCTTTTATCATTCCAAAATTTTAACGAATCTGGTAGTTGGTCACTCAGGTACTGTGTGATAAATTTAACAATGAATTAAAAACAATTTGCTCACCAAATATCAAATCACTACTAATGAAAGATTGCCTGAAAGACCTGACTGAGGTTAGTAGCCAAAATACATTTCTTTGGGTACCAAAAAGTCATCCTAAGCCCCTGACCCTTTTATGTGACTTGTTTGTAAGATGGGTCGAGATTCCAGGTCTAAATAAATAAGGAATTTATTGGAAATTATGCTTAACTCTTCTGGCGTTAGCATTTGTTCTAAATATCTTACTCGGTTTTCAATCAGCGTTCTACCCTAAATTGAGGTTCTTTAAAACCCTTGTTCATTCCAAGTTTCGCTGCTATATCTTTCATAAACCCTGTATTCATATCTACAATTCGGGATAAAGAATATACTTCAAATCCTTAAACCTAATCATTAAATGGGCTGTATCACTGGAAAGAACATTCTGATCTATACAGATAACACCCCGAACAGACCACGAATTTACTCAAGATTTGACCGGAGTATCTATCAACAATGTGGTTATCTTAAGATGGTTCAGAGGTAAGCGTTTTGTTGATTCACCAGCCAAGAAAGCAGCCAACCAAATACTTTTTGGATCTAGCCCTTCCTTTAGACTGACAAACTTAATTAAATTCAAGAGGTTGCAGCAGAGTTGCTGCAGACAAATACTTAACTTAGAGTAGACAGAATCTGCGTCTGATTACAGACATTCTGACTAGTCATTATCAAGTACAGAAGCATCTCCATGGCATGGGGCTGTCAAAACTCGCATTTTGCCGTGAGACAACTTTTCACACGTTATAGATACAGAACCACTTCGTAGAGAGGCATATATTCATTCTCTTAGTAAACCTAGTGATACAAAAATATAACTTTACTGAGCTGATTCTCCTTAGATGTACCTCCAAATCTTTACCTGTGCTCAACTGCCCTAGTCTCCGATAATTGGTTTTAACCCCATATTAGTTCATAGTACCCACTCTGTTCCCTTTGTTTCTTGTACAAGTTCCTACAGGTCGTTTATCGAATGTGTTGTTCAAAAAGTTTGCAATCCAATGTTTTGCAGCCATACATGTTTGGATATTTCTGGTTCCTTGTGACATATTCTCCAGTGTTCATGCGTATCTTTAATGAGACAATCCCAATCATAAGTCCTGTTGTTTGCAACTGGTTCCTATTCCAATTATAATAATATAATAATAAAAGTAACAATCTTGTTCTATTTGAACATGGTTTTCCAATAAAGGTTTTCCTGGTTTCGGAACATCTTCCCAAAATTGTTGTATATTGTCCGAAACCTCAAACTGTACTTTTTGGTATCCCAAAGTTTATATCTGGTTTCGCTTCTGATCCTATTTAAGGTACTAAACGTATCTGTCTGTAAAATAATTTAGTTCATCCTCTGAAACCGTCTACTATTTTATTTTTTAGACCTCTCAAAAATTTCTCATTTAATGTCTGAAAAATATTCTGGAGGCTTGCTCTTTGTTTGTTTTTGATCTTCTGATTCCCTGATCCTCTTGAGTCGCAACTCTTTGTTTTTAATATCACCATCGATTTCATCAGTTTCATCTGCATTCTCCTCGGTTCTATAATGTTTTCTTTTGAAATTTGAATATTTTTAATTTTACTTGTTACTGGTTCTAATATTTGATAACTTTTAGAATCACCAACAAGGATACCTTTCTTAGCTTTTCTGTTTTAAAAAAAACTTGGATTTGGTTTGTGTCGTTTCCACAATTCACATGGAGCTGTTTCTACTGCTTTGGATGGTTTTGCAAAAAAAAACAGTTGTAACAGTTTCTCCCCAATATATTCTATCTGCTAGTCCATTTTGTTCCAGTATTTTTGAAATTATATTCCACACGTTCTAAGTTTATATTTAATACTTTTTGAGTACCAAAAATAGTTCTGATTTAACTTACTCTTTCTCTAAATAGGTGAAACGTTAGAGCGCGTCTTCTATGTATAAAAAATGTGGGCAATTGCCAGACACTCCTATGTTTAGACCGAATTCTAACTTTTGATTTTTTAGCGATATACGTAATAGCTGGTAAGAAGAATCCAAAAATCATAGTCCACAACGATGATTACGTAATAAATAGAAAAATGGAAGGAAGAACTATTTGGAGATGCTCTCAATACAGGAGGTTATCGTGCTCTTCCAGGATCATTACTTTCGGAAAGAATTTGTTGATAAAGTCCGTTCATAATCACGAACCCACGTATCCTTCTTTAGACAATGCTGTTCAACAAAATGTCAATATTGTGAATAGTAAATATAGTAGTGTGAATAGTAAATATAGTGGTGCATATAATAAATATAAATAAATTTTTTGAATCAATAAATGATGAATAGATTGAAATAAATCGAATATTTCATTACCTTCTCAAAGTTATTACCTTATTTATATACAGGTGGTACCATGTAACATTAAAAGTGACAAGTGTGTATGACAATTTTAGTAATTTACAACCATGTATTCAAGAAATTAAATCAGGATGAAGAAACTAGATAAATATTTTTGCACATTCTATGAGAATATAAATATTAATCTATTTTAATATCTACATGTATTTTAATAACACCCTGTATTCCACAGGGTGGTCCATACATTATTATCCCAATCATCTTAAATATTGTGTTGAAAAAATTGTGGTGACAATAGTGACAACGAGACCATAACTAGCTTCGGAACGGTTGTGTAAAGTATGTGATCTGACTTACCGACTTGTATGGATTCGATAGTCAACAGTGATATGAAATGTGTGTGATATAACTTATTTGATATTTACGTTTATTGTTCGTATTTTAAACTATGTCAGTAGAGTTGATAGTAGTATAGACAGTAAAAATTTTGTAGTTAGACTTGCAATCCATCTTAGCGGATAATAAATTTAAAATTGTCGAAAATATGGAGCACCCCAGGAGAAATGGGCTTCAGAATTTTTGGTATTTTGCAGTTATCGACATCTACAATAGTATCTATAGACACAACTCAATTTTGGCCCTTTTGTTAAGGAGGCTGTGGACGCGTGAACTTGTCGTAGACAAAAATTGCCACTATTGCTCAAGAAGTCGACTACGGTTAAATACCAAAAATATAGACCAATTTTAGAAATGGTCCATGGCTATATTAATCATCCGATTTATTTTCGATAATTGTTACACGCTAGGATAAAACCGTCTACTTCGATTCTAACGGTTTCCTTCTCCAGGTACCATCTACGTGATGCCCGGCTTCAAACATCCCAAGGTGATCTTGGACGGCGACGAATATTCGGTGTATTTGAAGCAAGGCGACAAGACAAGATGGCGTTGCGCCGCGTACGCTCCGATGAAGTGCAAATCCACTTTGGTTACTTATGGAAATGGATTGAATATCGTCAAGGTCAATCATCAGCACAACCATATTCCATTGCTCGTCGGTACGACCATGAACAACAAGTTCAAACAGACCGTGAAGATTATTAGACCGAGGACCACTATTTAATGGTTGAGGAGGATGCTATATATGCTACTTCCTTCATATATTTTTTTAATTTAGTAGACTAATCTTAGATTTCAGCTTGAATTTGGATCATTCCATTTCAAAGATTAAAATAGTACAGAAGTAACGCTTTCAACTGCTATACAAGAAGAACTGTTTAAAAATACAAAATGGCTTTTTAAAATTACAGCAATCCCATCTCGGGTTGCTCAATGTCGGATGGTTTTTCTTTTAAAATTATAAAAAGATTAATACACATTTATTTTCACCAAGAAAAACAACTCTTATTTGACGTGACAAAACTGCCATTGCCAACCTATAATAAAACAGAATTATTATAGTTAGGCAACACAATACGCATTTAAATATAAACGATTACATGACAAAAGTCTCTCCCCTTTAAAATCTATATCTCAACTTATATCCAAGTTTAAGATCAAGGCCATTATATGATTGGTTAATTGTTTGACAGGTTAATATACTCATGTTTACGGAGCATACTGTTATTATAGTTTGAAGTTGAAAAACTTCGCTTAAATCCCATACAAAAACAAAAAAATACTTATCTAAAATGAGTTTAGTTCTAAATACTCTACCAAAGGTCGTTAGTAAATGAGGTGCACTTTTGACCATTTTTTTCACCCTTTCAGCCACTACTTCTCAATAAAGCTTGGGTCCAGCCTGCCTTCACTCCTCTTGGGGTCCCCATTCAACATACACTCATTCATTGTCATTCTTTCCACGTCGTCGATGGTTAATCACTGCTCGGCTAATTCCAGAGGTCATCCATCCACGACGTGACCGCAGATCACGAGAACGTGAATGCACACTAGTCCTTTTGACTGTTAAAGACAATTTAGTTTAAAACCTCTGCAAAGGAGACGACAGACATCTCAAAGTTGTTTTATGTTTTTATTTAATTCCAATACCTATTACGTAATCTGTCATGTCACATGTCAACGTTAACTACCAAATACGTCACGGCGCGTCTGGACCCTATTCTAATGTATGTGATCAGACGCGCCGTGCGAGGTTTCTAAACACACTTCAGTTAACTTACCTATGGGGCTATTAAACCTATTCGAAAATCCCAAAGCCACTGGTACGCAATAATACCAACATAATCGTAATATTTAAGCAGAACGAAATTAACCTGAAAAATATTATATTGAAGCTTTCAGAAAGTTATGTTGTGACTGTTGTATTCTTGTGAACATAAAATGCAATGTTAGTCATTCAAATCCATAATAATCAAATGGAATAATTCAAATTCAGGCCATTTATACAATAACCAATCATGCCAATAAAAATATAATATAATTCTGCCTTAGACAACTATAATTAGTTTGATATGCTTGTTTTTTATAATTTTTTATAAATAACTATCATTATGTATAAGATAATAAAGGAATGCTTATTTAAAATAAATATTGTAATGCCTTAGATGTATTCGAAATATAAACAATGTAATTTACAAATAATGAAAAAAATAGCCAATATTTTTAGAGGTATTAATTTCTTTAACTCATATTTTTATTTCTATATTATCTTTTTTTTATTTTATGAGTTCCTATTTTTTAAATGTTTTTACTATTTTTAATTCTTTTGATATTGTTTTCTTATTTCTTCTTTATGATTATTTCCTTATGAATACATTTCAGAATAATTAACCGATATACAAGTTGTTTTCTACTTTTTTTTATATTATTTTTGCTTATTTTTATATTTTTTATTTTTCTATTTTTTTTTTAATGAGACTACAAATGGACAAATTGATCTCCCCTGCTATCAAGCTGTTATCTGATTTTGTAAATTATATTATGGCAAAACGTGTGTTTTTTTAATTTTCAAGTATTATTTTTGATTTATCTCTTAAAAAGAAAATTTGTTTTTTAAATTTTCATATATATAGACTGAAGATAAAAGGATCTCAATATATACACACACTCATACTGCCGATTATATTAGTATTAGAAGAAATTATAGTAGTTATAAGGTATAATCTCCTTAAATAATTGTAAGAAACAGTCTTCAGGAATATCTGAAATTGCGACGAACTGAAAAGAAGAAACGATAAATATAGATATACAGAATCTAGTACTGTTTCTTTTATGCTGCTTACAAAGTTATTTTTTCCTACAGTGTGTCCTCACAAAAACGTTTTTTACTTTGTCCACTATATAGCAAACCTTAGCTATTTCAGCTATTCCTATGGATCTGTAAGTAGAAATTAGAAAAACCCAGTAAACACATACGAAAGTTGTTTTGACCAGGATCCAAAAAAACTTAAACACTTTTATAATTCTTAACTGACGCATACGTTTTGGGTTATTGTATGAAAACGCGACGCACATCGTGGAGACAAAGTTTTCATGACCAACTAGAGCATTCAACTTTTGTATCTTGTGTTTACTGATTTTGAATTTGTACTGATTCAAATAAGATATGTGTAAGACAATTCATAAAAAATAAATGGTAGCTTGCAATATATACGTCGATAATAATATACTCGAATACTCCATCAAGCATTTATTAGTTATTAAGAATTAGAATAATAGTGTTTTGCAGTTTAAATAAATTTTGATTCCAAAAAAGTAGAATAAAAGTGGATATTTGAAAACTGTCTGTATCCCGTTTTATTTAACAAGTATAGTGATGATTTTAAAAAAAGTAAAATTAGAATGAGAGGGTAGACTGTGCATATATGAGGATCATCTACATCCGTTAAAATATATTATCATGCAAATTACCCAAAATATATAGATTTACTCATTATTTTCTACTTGCAATCAAAATTTATTTGACTGGCCAATTTTTAAAGGAAAAAATTCTACAATGCAATGTTAGTTATAGAGAATAAAATAAATTGTAACCTTTAAATTTACATCTTGTTGCTTGGAAGTGATTGATTCCATTAAATTTAACCACTTTTACATTATACTAATGTATTATGACTTTTTTATTTTTTATTATTCTAAGTTCTATATATTAGATTTTGAAAAATTGTAACTTTAAACTAGCAAGTAGAATAAAGCAATAAAATCTAATATTACTTTTTTTATTAAAATTAGTTACCTACATATATATTTCCTAAAGTCATTAAGAAATTGTGTCATCTGTCAAAAACGGATATTTCGATCAGTTGCCCCCATGTTAGGCCTATTTATGATGTAATACGCGAGGGATAACAGAAAATTCATGTATCGACACAAATACATCGATATTTCTATTAAATTCCAAAGCCACTGGTACGCGATAATACCAATATAGTTGTATTATTTAAGCAGGACAAAATTAACCTGAAAAATATTATATTGAAGCTTTCAGAAAGTTATATTGTGACTGTTGTATTCTTGTAAACATACAATGCAATGTTAGTCATTGAAAATAAAGAAATTGTAACCTTACAATTTACCTTTTGTTGCTTAAAAGTTTTATTATACTACTGGATTTTAAAAAATTGTAACTTTGAATTGTAGCAAGTATAATGAAGTATATATTTTTATTAAAATTACCAAAATTCCTTAAAATCATTGAAAAATTGTATTTAGATCGTTTGGACCTACTTAGTGACAATCAACTAACCTCCCATTATTTTTAGGCATCATTTACATAATCCCAGGTCAGAAGCATCCCAAACTGGTTGTAGATGACAACGAATATTCGGTATACCTAAAGCAAGATAATAAAACTAGATGGCGCTGCAATGGATACTTCAAGACGAAATGCAAATCAACACTTTTAACTTACGGAAGAGTTGTTAGAATCAACCATACGCACAATCATCGTCCTGTCATGATTGGGAAGAATATGGAAAATCACTATAAACAAACTGTGTTCATAATGCGTTATACCGATCCATAATAATTTTATTAATTTTTTTTAATAATAAAATATTTTTTTAAAATTATTTTGTTTTAATATGTGAATATTTAATATGATTAATACTTAAAATTACTCTTATTCAGTTTTATTTCAGCATTTAAATAGGACTAATACAGTTTTACTTGAAAACGGGCACAAAATATTCAAACCAACAACTTATATGATCAATTTTCTTCTATTCCCGAAATACATCACACTATATATAGTTAATTTGTTAATTTGTAAATATGTTATTTTGGATTCAGTATTTATATACCAGAAGAAAATTTCAAATTTTCTCAAGATAGCGTTACAAAATCTAGTACTGTTCATTTTTTATTCTACAACATTCATGTACTTAATTCATTTCTTTTTTGTCTATTTTTATTTTTTAGATGTAATATTTGTCTTACCTGGTCGAAAACATCCGAGAATCGAGGTAGATGGTTTTGAATACAACGTACATAAAACGAAGGCCCACAAGACGAGGTGGAGATGTATGAACGAGTCCAAGACGAAATGTACATCTGTTGTATATACATTTGGAAATACAGTTATCGTAAAGAAAGCTCATAATCACGAGCAAAAAAACACTACTGATACTTCGAAAGTTGGTGTACCAAAGTATGTTAAAATTGTCAGAGAGATTCTAATGAATCAATAATGGTGGAAATTAATGAATATATTAATATATTTTGTTTAATTGTATACTTATAAAAACAATAATAAATCGTAATATTTTCAATAACATTTTTTATGATTCGTCATAAACAGATATTTTCCATTGTCTTTCCACAAACATCGTTATTTTCCATGGTTTTTCCAAAAACGTCAATATTTTGAATTTACGCCACTGTTATATTTATTGTTATATCTGATGTGTTAATTTTTAAAATAGCTTACACAATAAATGTTCAATTAAAAATGAAAGTAATTGCAAACTCAAAAGTGACCAAAAGTAAAATAAAAAAACTGAAAATTACCCAAGCCACACAAGCGACCGTTTCGTTCGGAAAACAACTACTCCCCAGGCTAATACCGCAACAAACATTCAATTATACCCAAAGAAAAACAGAAAATTATTTTCAATAATATAACTTTAATTTTGCTTACTAAAATAAATATGCCTAACTTATAGATAATTTTTTTTAACATTTATACACGAGTTTATCCTGAGATACTAGGTATAATGCATGATTTTGAGATTTTGTAATAATTTACTAATTGTTTCATTTTTTAGGCACAGTTTATTTCTGTCCAGGCCGAAAACATCCTCGTTTGATACTCGACAATCACGAGTACAACATTCATATTAAGGAAGCGAACAGAACCAGATGGCGTTGCAAATATCAAAGCAAATCGAAGTGCAGCGCTACCCTGTACACGTCCGGAAATCAAGTGGAAATTAAAAATGCTCATAATCACGGTCCGCAGAAAATTCGCGAGGAAAGCTTGATAATGCCGCAAGTTGTGAAAATTGTAAGAAACTAATTGATTATTAAATATCTGTTATTATGTTTCCGATTAGTGCTCATACGTATCTATTTATAAATTCAACAAGTATGATAATAAATAACATTGGTATTATTTTAATCTTTTATGGCTTTATTAATGTATTAACTTTTGATTTTACAACTGTAGAATTATAGAACTTGTATATATTGACAAAGTATTTTGTAGTATATTTTTTTTGGTGCATTTTACTCGTTACATTTGTAAATTAAACATTTTGTATACAAGATTTATTATTTGTTTATTTTTGGGAAACCTTTTTATATGGATTCATGTACAACTTTTTAATACCTATATGTAAACCGTACACTATAATAATAGAATATTAAAAAAGTACAGCCAACAGAAGCCTGTTAGTTTTATTTGCCAGTTGTAAAAATTAAAAACTGCTTTTCTCTTTAACAATTTAGATGTAAATTTATTAACAAGTGATCCACAAAAAATGTTTCTTAAGTAGATCATGACCTACAAACGCTTTTTTTAAATCAAAGCTATAATTTAAAAAAAAAATGTACGCTCCAATGTATGTAATTTTTTTCATAGCCTACTTTAGAAACATTTTTTTTTAAATTTCATATTCCTATTCCTTATGAATTACCCTGTATATATTATTGTATAGTTTCTAATAAGAATCTTCATTATGCATAAAAAAATATAAAATATATATTACATCTTTAAGTTGTTTTATTATATAATAATATCAATTATTAATATTTGTGTAATAATAATAATAATAATAATAATAATAATAATAATAATAATAATAATAATAATAATTACACTACTTGACAGTTTAGCTTCTTTTGAGACATCTTCTGGCCTTATCAGTTGCACAAATATTGTAATGGGCATAATACAATAAGGCAGCAAATCACTTGGTCTCTGGGACACGTGCTACTGCTTTAAAATCCATTTCAAAAATTACCCTTTGAATAAGTTTGGTTAAGATTCCTCAAATCACCGAAAAATAATTATTTTCCAGAGAAAAGTTTATGAAACCGATAGAAATACATGTAAAGGTCTTTACAAACATTTCAGCTAGGTCAGAAATTTTGAAATATAAAGCGTATGTGTATTTGTGGTTTAAAAATTCTCTAACAAATTTTACAATACTTTCCTCTAAATTTCATTAAGATAATAATAAAAGTCAAGGTATGATTATTATTATTAAATTCCTAGAAAGCTGTTATTTCTACATAATATTTGATATTTTTAGTACCGAAAGATGTTGAACGTGATACATTTTAATGATAAATACTATTGTTTTGCTATTATGGGTTTTAAAATTGATTTTGTGCTACCGGTATCAACTAATATTTTTATAGTGGTTTTGAAATTTCAATATACGGCAGAGGGTTATTAGAATTTATATTTAATTTTACTAACTCTGGGTTTCCTTCAGGATTAAAATAATTTACATCATTTTCAAATTGATAGTGCTTATTTAATTATGTTTTTTATTGTCAAAAATATTTAGATGACGTGTCATTTTGATAAATTATATTATTTTCAATTTCTACAAAAAATCAATACTATACAGTTTATTTTTATTTTTATGGATTATTAAATGTTTTTTAAACCTGTGTGAGGAATTTCTGAGGATTTTATTACTGTTGTGAGGAGAAGTGGGGCATTTTATTTAGATGTAGGGGATTTTTCATTGTTTGCGGTTGGCAACATCAATTTTATTTGCTCTTATGGCAGAAGTTGAAATTAGTGGTGGTTTTTTTATAAATACCACTAATATCAAGTTCTGACAAAATATTATTGCTGCATTACTACTTAATAAAAGTGCCCTTAAATTATTCATCAATCAGGCTACCAGACTTTCCAGTCTATAACTTTACGTTAATGGGTAATAAAAATTATAACCTAACTTTTTATTTATTGTACCTGTATTTCGGCTATTTGAGATACAAGAAAAGGTAATATTTTCCAATTTAATTCAAAACCATCGATCATAATTATACTTTTTATTTATATAGCTTTATTTTTAAGGTATCATTTACTTCGGAAAGGCGGCCAAACACCCGAAGATATACCTAAACGACTACGAGTATCGCATTCACAAAAAGGTCGGCGTAAAAACAAGATGGCGTTGCACGCACGAGAGCAAATCGAAGTGTCGCGCCAATATTTATACCACAGGAAATACGGTACTATTGCATCACGAACACAATCACTCGAAGTTGCATTTGGCTTATCATCAACTGATTGCTAAGACTGTTAACATAGTTAATGTTGTTAAAAAAACTGGAATGTATTGAAATATTGTTTCAATTGATTATAAGTTAATAAAGTAATGTGTTTAATAAAAAACTGATTTTTTAATTAAATTTCTACCAAAATAATATTATAAATTGCATTCAAAGTTGGCGGAATATGTACAATTCCTCTCAATAAGCTCTTAAAACCCTCATCATATGTATATTCGCGAGAATTTGACTGCCTTATCCGATTTTTCTTCTTGCAGGAGATTTCAATTTTCCATTTTTTTGTTCCTTCTCTTTCTTGATGGTTATAAATTGTTTTTTACTGAATCCACTAATTTTGGAAGCAGTCACACTAAATTTATCGTCATTGACTAAATGAATCATATTAAAAGCCACTAACTCCATGTTGTAGGTAAGAAATCACAACTGAACCAACCCACAAAAAAAAGTTATTGCGTAATTAAATGTCAACGTTTTGACAATTATAAAAAATTCATGGGTTTTAATCGTCTTCATGTTTTTAACATTTTTTTTTTTTATTTTAGATTTCAAACGAATAGTTTTGGAAGAACTATCTTTAATCAATATTAAATTAAATCACATTATGAAAACGGCTACGGCTGTAGCCACAAAGCAAAGCGAAGGAGACAGTGACAAAACCGTAACTAAAAACATTGAAATTTTCTACGAAAATATCCCTATCAAAACAGTTGAACAACTAGAAGAGATAGAACGGTGGCTGGATAATAAAGAAAACTGTATGGCAGTTGTAAGTGAATGCATTTAAACCTTCACTATACTTAGGTTAATGATAAACAAACAAAAAACTATTTTAATAATAACCAATACTCTGTTTTGATCTATAGCTTCTAAACTGGACATTGTCATTATTACATTTTTTAGGTAAGAGAACTAAGTAGAATTGGTGGAATCAACTTGGGCCAAACGGTCAGAAAAATTTTATACAGGGTATTGTCAAACGAAATGGCCAATACGTTCTCTTGGGATGGGATGAAGCAGAAAAATGCTTTTAAAAATCTGAACTCAGCAAGAGCCATATTGGGTAATTACATTTTCTAACTCAAGTATACAGAAAGATACCTACATATAATTATACTTTTAGAAGCTGTAAAAATGTGTTACCCTTTGAGTAAAGAGATCGATATAATTTTGGTGATAAAATCATGGCTGGTTAAGGCCAAAGAAAGGCTGAAAATGAAGGTTTGTATCTAACAAATAATAAAATGTGTTATAAAGATTCAAATAACCAAGAGCCGGTTGCAAGAACGTTGATTAATTTGAAGTTTACTTACACCAGGATTGTTTGAATGACATGAACTTCAAATTGATGTTTCAAGTATCAATAAAAGGTACCTGTTCAAAGTAGAACTAAGTACAAGCATCAGTACCGAAAATATTGAAATATTTAGTTGAATTAGAGCTTAAAAACCAAGAATTTAAGTACTAAGTATTAAGTATAATATGTATGTACTTAAGTATCGAGTTCAAGTACAAGAATTTAGGCATAATTTTTTAAATACTGATACTTTAATATTTTTTATTAAGTACAAGTCGTTAAAAAGCACTTGTAAGTACAAATATACAAAATATACAAAAATAATAATACTAAATAAGTAGATGAAATATAGGGCTGCTGGCCCTATTTTGTTACATAACCTTAAACTTCGTTTTAATGAGTCTCTGCAGACTCAAATATGAATAACAGTGATATAGATGTGAAGGGGGTACAAAGAAAAATCAGGAGTGTAGAGAAATGAAGGAAGGTAGGTATGAACGTATGAATAAATCATTAATATTAAGAGTACTTTAATAGTACTCTTAAGTATTTTCGTAGTACTTTACGAATACTTTAAGATTACTTTAAAAGTATGTTAAGAGTACTTTAGGGAAATGAGTGTAAAGAAATCAGGAGTGTAGAGAAATGGAGAAAGGTGGGGATGAACGTATGAGTAAATCATTAATATTAAGAGTACTTTCATAGTACTTTACGAATACTTTAAGATTACTTTAAAAGTATTTTAAAAATACTTTACTTTAAGAGTATTTTAAATACTTAAGTACTGTAGGGTACTTAAGTATTTGGTGTGTATTTCTTTAAATATTGATACTTTAATATTTATATTGAGTAAGAGTCCTTAAAAATCACTTTTATATACAAGTTCCTGTATCAAAAATAATAATACTAAATAAGTAGATGAAATATAGGGCTGCTGACCCTGTTTTGTTACATAACCTCAAACTTCGTTTTAATGAGTCTCTGTAGACTCAAATATAAATAACAGTGATATAGATGTGAAGGGGGTACAAAGAAAAATCAGAAGTGTAGAGAAATGAAGGAAGGTAGGTATGAACGTATGAATAAATCATTAATATTAAGAGTACTTTAATAGTATTTTAATAGTACTCTAAAGTATTTTCATAGTACTTTACGAATACTTTAAGATTACTTTAAAAGTATTTTAAGGGTACTTTACTTTAAGGACATTTTAAAATACTTAAGTACTTTAGGGTACTTAAGTATTTGATATTTTTAAATTATTAGTAAAAATGTACTTAAATCATATTTAAGTACTAAAGTACAAGTATTTAAACTAATACTTACGAGTTTAAGTACCAGTACACGAATTTTTTGAAGTACTTAAAGTAAAATACTTATTTAAAAGTACCTAAGTACATATTTTATGTTACTTTCGATAATCAGTACTGCAATTCTCAGATATTTTTGATGATCGTTCCTACAGTTGGCTGTAATATAGTTTGAATGAACATTTTTGCAACCGGTTAGTTTTCTGTAACAGCCTTTAAGCCTATGAGGCCATAATGATATAGAGATTCGGTGCGTGATAAATTTAAATTTATATTTCTTTTTAGGATGGAAAGGAACATGAAGAAGCTCGAGAAGAAGTAATAAACGAATGAACGAAAATAAACATTTTATGATAATACATTTTGAATAATACTGAATGAACTACCTGTTACACAAAAACAGATAAATTTTATAAAGCCATTTGCTATCAATCATCCCCTAATTGTCCTAATCCTTAATACCTAGTAGTTTAGAAAGCAAAATACCCACTTGGTTAATATTTCGTGGTAAAATGCAGGTACAATTGAAAAATATTGTAATGTTTACAAAATAATGATAAATAAGCAATATTTTATTTTTAGATATGCATTAATATTTAAGATATGCATTATTATTTTAGAAATGCAATATAAAATTCTGCAATAAATATGCAAACATCCACTTTATATGCATTTTGCATATAATGCAAGCTCTACTCATAAAATATATTTACTTTAATACGTTTAGTTTATAAAGCAATATTACTAGTTGAGAACTGTTAAACTTAGGTTAAATCCCTAAGTAATCAGCAAAAAACTTATTTCCAAACTCTTTATAACTCTATTCTAATATTATTTTTTTTTAGGAATAGTTTACTTCACAAAAGGTCAAAAACACCCCAAGCTAATACTGAACAATTTCTGTTACACGGTGCATTGGAAGGATCCGAATAGAACCAGATGGCGTTGCAGACGGCACAACAGTCTGGGATGCATCAATTTCTTGTACACCACAGGACATACAGTGTACATTCAAAATACGCACAATCATCCTTGCGAAAATATCAGCAAAGCGAATTTGAGTTCGCAGCAGGTTACGATTATTTATCGACAGATCAGAAACAGAGTGCACAAATCTAACAGACCAGATATTGCTATTTAAAAATAAATTATACAGGGTGGTTCGCAGAATAGGAGCGTGTTAGGAACCGCAAAATATGATTTAAAGGTTTTAAAGCAACAAAGTTGTACCTCTAAGGAATTGAGGAGGTCCAAAATAGGATCATACATTTAAAAAACAAAAAATAATGTCTGCAACCGCTATTTACAGCCAAAAACACTGTGATTGATTCAAGATATGAAAGATATGAAAAAAATTGAAGAAAAGATTTGGACATCGACTGCCAATTAGACTCCCACTTCACAAAATTTCTCTTTCTTAGGAATATTAATTATTTTTATACAGGATGTGACACATTCAAAATATACGGTTATAATGGTGGGTTACTTCCAAATCACCCCTTAAAATGATTCAAATAATTATCACTTTCCCAAAAACTAAGACTTATGAAGAAACTAAATAATGTACCATTTATATTTTTTCTATGTTAAACAGTTGCAGAGATATTAAATTATTTCGAAATTTGTGACTCCACTTTTTGAGCCTCTGTAACTTCTTAGAAGTACGAGATATAGAGGTAAGTTGCGTGAAACCATCATATGTTAGGGTGCTAAACACGCACCTATTTTGTGTATTCTGTATCTGTACTTATGTTAAACATCCTGTATATGTTTTCATTACACCAATTAATTTAATTTTAGTAACTTTTAGCTAAATGTATATTAATTCTTAATATCACGAAGTTGACAGGCTAATTATCAAAAATGAAATGCAATGTTAGTTATGTCACATGGAAAATATGTTGTTGCATTTAAAATCTTCAGAAAACTTCTACATGTTAAACAAAAAATTTGACAAATATTGATGACATGCAATGACAAACTGTACAGGTACAGACATTTAAACGCGGACCATCTAAGGCAAATCTATTAGAGACGAGTGGAAGTGGGGAGGAAGTCGTACGTATCGCGTTTGTTTCACGCATGGTACTGTAATGAAGTCAATTTTCGTTAATATTTCTTTTTAACTAATTCCGGGTATTAATTTCGATTTTTACTTAATTTTAACTTTGTGGAAATGCCCTGTATATCAGTTTCTCGCAATTCAGACCATATCGTGCAAATACTCTGCGTGCGCGAGTTGTAATGGTGGGGTTTCTACTATGGAAAGGGCAAGCGACGATTAAACGAGCTCCAGGAGTCAACTAAAAATTTCAGTTCCTAATAGACTTGATTTCAGCCAGTTAAAAGTTAAAGCCGCATTTTCAATTAGGTCGGCCGTCGATAAATTTTTCATATCGTGTTTATAAATCCGTTAGGTAAAAAAAACCTTGTTTCGTTTTTACTTTCATATTTTTATAGAAGAAACGTTTTATATTGAGACCGTATTTTATTTAAAAACCGAATTATTTTTTAGAAATAGGAACATTTTAATTCAGTGTTGAGTTAAAAGATATAATTTGATTTCATAAATAAATATTAGAATTAATTTCTTGGCAAATATAATACCATTTTTAAAAATATTGTTGTGATAAATATTTATTTTGATTTAATTAATAAATATTAGAAGTTAGGTCTTTAAAGATAGAATATCGTTTCATTAAAGGGAATTGAATTTGATTTAAATTATAAATGATAGGATTTAGTTCTTTAAAATTGTAATACCGTTGATTTAGACATCTGATAGTCAGACCTAAGAAATTAAACTTTTCTTTTTGGTAGGTTAAATCGGGAATTAAATTTGATTTCATTGATAAATAATTTTGTTTAGTAAGTGCCGCGTTATAAATAAGTTGGGAATATTTAGAAACGGAGTTTTCGAGAAGACGTTTACGGTCTTTTAATAGTTTGTTTATTCTTTTACCGCAAATTTAAATAATCTTAAATAGTATCCTGTCCCTAGCTGAGCGGGCTCATGATGACGATCAGTTCATTCTTGAATTAGGTGCTAACCGTGTTTTTTTTTTGTTAATGTGCAAACCGCAAAATTTAAATAATCTTAAATAGTATCCTGTCTCTATCTGAGCGGGCTCGTGATGACGATCAGTTCATTCGTGGAGTAGGTACTATCCGCATTAGTAGTTTTTTCCCTCTGATAATATTTTTGTTTTCTCTTTCACCGTCAATTTAAATAACCTTAAATAGTATTCTGTCCCTGTCTAAGCGGGCTCGTGATGACGATCAGCTCATTCTGGGATAATAGGCTACCCCGAGTATAAATTTATTTTTTTTCCCTTTTCAAATATTTACTACAAGTAGTTCTTTCACGACCCTATCTCCTCGCACTCTTTGCGACCGTTTAGATCATTCCTTACCGAAATGGAAAATTATATTTTAGTTTAATTACCGACTAAATAGTCAAATTAATTTTTTCTGCGACTGAAACACTCATTTTATTTTAATTCAATTTTGACGTCTGATTAAGACTAGTCGGTATTCATTACCGTCCGTTTTTTTTTGTTTCGTTTGTTTAGGATTATATTGACTATCATCGCAACGAGGGTGGGCGTTGAAATATATAAATTTTGTTTTTTTAATGTGTAAATAGTTATTCACAATATATGTGTCAATGTTAACTTGCCGTATTACTCGTTACTAATTCCATACTTTATTTCCCCCTTGTATTTCAGCTAGTGATCAATTCTGTACTAGCCCAAGCAACGATTAAAGCCCGTTACTTGTGGCCTACCATTACCTGTGTCTAAGTGACCTTTGACCCCTGGAATTTTTCATCTCCATCTGTAGCTACCCGAGTACTTTCGACGCCGTTTCGAGAGTTTGTGGAATAAACCATAACCAAAAATCTGGCGCTCGAGAACCGCCCGTAGCCAGCGCCATTCGTAAGGAACCGTTTTCTCTGTGACGAGAAAACCCCTTACAGTACCTATTATAATCAAATTCGTTATAAAATAGTTGTACCGCGTTTAAATATCTGTACCGGTATATAATCATTCTATAATGGTGGTATATTTAACGTATTTTTGTATAAAACTCATCATAACATTCATGTAAGTTGTCTAATAAGATTTAAAAACGAAATGTTTCTCCATGTAGGGTTACCATATTTAAAAATACACTTTCTTAACATATCTAATAAAATTCCAACTTATAAAATAAATTTCTAAACGTTTGATTAAAAAAAGTACACTTAGAAAAGGGTTACATATAAAATAAAACTCGAACTAATCCACTGTAATCTCCGATATGCGTGATTTTTTCCGCAGTCTCCTTTAGAATAAAGTTTTTTTTATTTATACCATTAGGTTACAGTTTTTAGTAATCATATTTGAGTAATATAAATAACAGGTTTATAGGTACTTTTATAGTTTTAGTGTTAATAAATATTTTAATCATTTGTTTTTTACTTAAATCCATTTCGAAAAGCATTTTTAGTGAATAATATAATTTACAGGGTGGACCCAAAGTTAACAAAATAAATAAATAAAATATCTACTTGTTATCTAAATAATATTCAACGATAGAATGTATCTAGATTGTTTTTTAACCAAATTTGTCAATACAGATATAAAATTGTACAGTTAGGGGGGGAGGGGTAACACGTGAAGTTGCCCTTCTTTTCCCTTTGAAAGAACTTCGTACTTTTTTAAATACGTCATGAAATGTCAAAAATGATTAGATATCTCAATGTCCTTGTTCAAAACGCTTATTAATTTTTTTATGGTTCTTACACTTTTTAGTATATTAGTTGGTTGATTCCAAAAATATTGAAAAAGAACTTTTTGGTTCCTATTTTAAATAATAGCCTAGTTATAACTTCAAAGCCCTGTATATTAGGTTCAAACAATTTGACGGTGCTCCGATTATATAAGAAAATTCCTGGATTAATAAAATTTACTAAAAATTGTATTTTATAATGTAATACAACGTACCAAATTTTCAGGCATTGTATATTTCGGATTATCTCGCAAACGCCCAACCATTATTTTGGATAATTACGAATTCCAACTGCATTTTAAGAAGGCGGAAAGAACAAGATGGCGATGCAAGAACTACTTAAAATTGAAATGCAAAGCCAGCTTGATCACCACTGGAAGAAAAGTTTATGTACATAATGTACATTTGCACGAACCTGAACCAACTGATTATGCCAATCGAATATCTACCAATGTAATACTTGTTAGAGAGTCTGCGTAATTAATTTACTAGTACAGTGTCGGAGTAAACACGTTACGTGGGGAGCGGAATGAACCACGTGAAGCGGGCATTACGGATTTATGGAAAATAAAAAGTTCAACCGTTCCTAGTTCTAGGTTTTGAATCAAAATTTCTATTGTTTTAAGGTTTGTTGTAAACCAGAATAAAAAAATTACTAATAATATTCTACAATATACATATGTACCGCCTATGTTTTTTATTTACTTACCTAAATGTATGTTTTAGGATAAACAAAAAATTGTAATAGTAATTTTTAGGCTTTCAAATAATAAAATTCGTTAAAAACCGT